CCACAAGCGGAACACACATGTAGACATTTTTCCGAGGTGTGCCCTTTTCGGCCACACTTCTGACAGGTCAATCTTTTCCAGCATCCGCGATCGTCATGTCTTTTCGAGCCGCAGTGTGTGCAGGCTTTCGCAACTCTGCCCCGATCGCGATCATGATCTAGGTCTGTCTTTCGCGATCTGTCTCGTTGATCCCCTGGGTCTGCAGCCTGATCAGTGATAGTCTTCACACAAACCTTACGGCGAAAATCTTCTTCATTTGCATCGTCCGAACTTGAGCCTGAGTCGCTTTCCTCACTTTCTGCACGAATGGCCTTCACAATCCGTGGTGTCTTTGAATATACTTGGGCTGGCGTCGTAGCCGATCGCGATCGGTACTTGTTCGAGTCAGTCGGATCCTTATTCTGTCGAAAAATCATGCGCTGATAAGCGCGTAGAGTTTCTTCCATCGTGTTAGCATCATGCAATCATAATAGGGTCAGTTGCTTCGCCAACTCTCGATCATTCAAAGTGTCAATGAAGTGTTCTACATGCTCACGTCGGCTTGCTGGCGATCCATCTCTGAACGCCACTTTTGCATGCATTCCTGCTATATTCAACCGGTCCAAGTATTCCAACGGGGTTTCATTCGGTCTCTTCCGCGCGTGGTAGTATTGTCTTCCAGCTGACATTCCATATCCTCCATATCGGGCCATGAAGCCTTCCGACAACGACTTCCAATCATCGCGGGTCGATCGGCTCAACCGGCTGAACCAATTTCGGGCAGGTCCTGCGAGCAGGTCTCCAAATACCAGACATTTCTCGTCGTCTGGAGCCTGATCTCGTAGAAAGGCAGTCTTCATCTTGTTTAACCAACCTCTAGCACGTTCTTCGTCTTGATCACGTCCTGTTCTTTCAGATCGGCCATCGCCGACAATCTAATTTTCTGTGCGCTGAAACCTCCCGTAGGGGCGGTTCCTGCAGTTGCCACTTGTGGTCGTCTTAGATCATATGGTCCCCTGCGATCTGACTCATGTTCTCACAGTCAATCGCGGTATGAGTCTACTGACTCCATTTCGACGTCTGGGACGATCGGTAGTTAGCTCCTTGTTCTTCGCGATCGCGAATGGATTTGTCCATGGCGGCCTTGAAAAATGTTTGCAACTGGCTTGGCTCCACCGTGTTTGCATTCTGTGAAGCCGGGATTTGAGTCGATCGTATTCCATTGTTGGCCGGGTCGAGCCTGTTTTTAAGCATTGCTGCCCCTGTCGGTCCCAGCAACATCCGCTGCATCCCAAACGACTCGTCTGAGTCCATATCTGATTCTGCCGAGGCATAGCGTGACGACCCCGTGTATTCCTCTTTCACATTGTGGTCGGTTGACTCTCTCCCTTGGATCAGATGTCCTTCTTCACTCTTGATTCGCTGGCTCAGATGTCTTGCTTCACTCTTGATCCATTGGATCATAGGGTTGTGAGACCCTGTCAGTGGAGTTAGATTTTCGAATAGTAGCTGTCCTGCTTTGATCACCCGATCGTGATTAAATTATAAGAGCGTTTAATGGTCGAAAGCTCCAGCTGTAAATCCAGCGTCTCTTAGCAGCTGAATAAGCCGATGCAATGTCTCCACCTGATTAGAGGTCACTTTCGGTGGCGATACTGGACCTTGGATCGACCCGATCAGCTTAGGTTTCAGCACCTTTTGGACTGGGTCTTCTGCAAGAAGTTTCTTCAGTTGTTACCAATGGAAGTCCCAGGTGATCCGTTCCAATTGCCAGCCTTCTGATTCCACATCCTGACCTTCTGCCTTGATCTCTTGCTTGTTTCGATGTGACTCTGCCGTCTTCGTCTTTGAACGGGCCAACTTAGGAGTGTGTTTCCTCGCCTTTGGTTGGGCGGTAGTTTTGGATGAAGATCTTTCAGTTTTTACTGAAGGATTTCCATATGGCAGATCGTGCTTTGCAGCACGATCCGCGGTGGTCCCCGAAGGGACCTCAGGAGGGGGTTAAGGTTTTTCTTCCAGATCAGCTTGGTGATATTCCTCTTTGACTTTATTGTCATCATAGCCCCTCCCAAAACTATGATGATCTTGGGATCCTTTCTCTTCGCGCGTCTATGGCGATCCAAATTCCGCTGACACTCCAATCCAGGTTCAGTCTTAATATTAACATCTTCATCCCGGGACTCACGGTGAAATTCCGAGTCACCAGAAGATCCGGGCACGCGCACCATTGTGGTGGAGTGAGGTTCGCTCATTTTTTGAGGCGATCCCGACTCTTCACTGGCGCCCAGACGACCGACTAACGGACGGGGTACTCCGATTTCGCTTGCACTTGTTTCCTCCTCACCTTGTGTTCCCGTCGGCAGGACGGGTTGCACTCTTCTAGGTGGACTCGACGAGATGCTAAAATTGACCGTTGTAGAGATTGGTGCTGATCGGGTGGAAAATCCTCACCCGATCGCGTGTTCTGGGTTGGCGCTCTCCTAGAGTCGCCGTGATCTGCCCTGATCACCTTGTGCCAAATGTGTACTCGAGTCGCGAGCCTTTCTGGCCACTTGAGCTGTCTCGCGATCTTGTACTTCTACCGATACGGTTGGCTGCGTCCGATCGCAGTAGGGGTGTGTTGAGAGTCCTAGCACTCCTGGCCAATAGTGTGGTAGAGTCGATCAAGATTGGTGTCGCAAAACCTCAAACGTATGCCTAAGTACGGAGTGGGGACCGGCGGAATGATCGTGGGACGAGGACCAACCATTTGGATAATACCGTTGGGGTCATTCATGACAATATCTCATCCGGTCAGAACGGGTCAGAACGGGTCAGAGCGGTTCAGAATGGCGAAAGAGACCGCGATCAAGGGACCGCTATCAGGGGAACGCGATTAAGGGACCGCAATTGAGGGACCGCGATTAGGGGACCACGATTGAGGGACTACGATCAGGGGACCGCGATCAGGAGCCGCGGTCAGGGGCCGCGATCAAGGGACCGCGATCTGGCGTGGACCATGCCATGATGCGATCAGACGGTTGGTGTGTTAGGTCTGTGCCACATAGATACAAGGGGCGATCTGTAGAGGCGATACGTGGCGTCTGATTTTCCGAGTTATAGGGGTAAGGTGTGAGGGTCTGATTGGTTAACATTTAACAGAATTCAATTTGCTTCTAAACACATTCGTGTCGATCTTCTCCCGGGTTGGATATTTTGGCCTCCCGACGTCTGAGAATCTCGACATCAAGGATAGAACGGTCACTCCTGCAGCTATTTGGCCAGGGGTGCTAGGACTCTCAACACACCCCTACTGCGATCGGACGCAGCCAACCGTATCGGTTTAAGTACAAGATCGCGAGGGCCGTTCAAGTGGCCAGAAAGGCTCGCGACTCGAGTACACATTTTGGCACAAGGCGATCAGGGCAGATCACGGCGACTCTAGGAGAGCGCCAACCCAGAACACGCGATCGGGTGAGGATTTTCCACCCGATCAGCACCAATCTCTACAACGGTCAAGTTTAGCATCTCGTCGAGTCCACCTAGAAGAGTGCAACCCGCCCTGCCGACGGGAACACAAGGTGAGGAGGAAACAAGTGCAAGCGAAATCGGAGTACCCCGTCCGGTAGTCGGTCGTCTGGGCGCCAGTGAAGAGTCGGGATCGCCTCAAAAATGAGCGAACCTCACTCCACCACAATGGTGCGCGTGCCCGGTGACTCAGAATTTCACCGTGAGCCCCGAGATGAAGATGTTAAGATCAAGACTGAACCTGGATTGGAGTGTCAGCGGAATTTGGATCGCCATAGACGCGCGAAGAGAAAGGATCCCAAGATCATCATAGTTTTGGGAGGGGCTATGATGACAATAAAGTCAAAGAGGAATATCACCAAGCTGATCTGGAAGAAAAACCTTAACCCCCTCCTGAGGTCCGCGGATCGTGCTGCAAAGCACGATCTGCCATATGGAAATCCTTCAGTAAAAACTGAAAGATCTTCATCCAAAACTACCGCCCAACCAAAGGCGAGGCAACACACTCCTAAGTTGGCCCGTTCAAAGACGAAGACATCAGAGTCACATCGAAACAAGCAAGAGATCAAGGCAGAAGGTCAGGATGTGGAATCAGAAGGCTGGCAATTGGAACGGATCACCTGGGACTTCCATTGGTAACAACTGAAGAAACTTCTTGCAGAAGACCCAGTCCAAAAGGTGCTGAAACCTAAGCTGATCGGGTCGATCCAAGGTCCAGTATCGCCACCGAAAGTGACCTCTAATCAGGTGGAGACATTGCATCGGCTTATTCAGCTGCTAAGAGACGCTGGATTTACAGCTGGAGCTTTCGACCAATAAACGCTCTTAGAATTTAATCACGATCGGGTGATCAAAGCAGGACAGCTACTATTCGAAAATCTAACTCCACTGACAGGGTCTCACAACCCTGTGATCCAATGGATCAAGAGTGAAGCAAGACATCTGAGCCAGCGAATCAAGAGTGAAGAAGGACATCTGATCCAAGCGAGAGAGTCAACCGACCACAATGTGAAAGAGGAATACACGGGGTCGTCACGCTATGCCTCGGCAGAATCAGATATGGACTCAGACGAGTCGTTTGGGATGCAGCGGATGTTGCTGGGACCGACAGGGGCAGCAATGCTTAAAAACAGGCTCGACCCGGCCAACAATGGAATACGATCGACTCAAATTCCGGCTTCACAGAATGCAAGTACGGTGGAGCCAAGCCAGTTGCAAACATGTTTCAAGGCCGCCATGGACAAATTCATTCGCGATCGCGAAGAACAAGGAGATAACTACCCGATCGTCCCAGACGTCGAAATGGAGTCAGTAGACTCATATCGCGATTGACTGTGAGAACATGAGTCAGATCGCAGGGGACCATATGATCTAAGACGACCACAAGTGGCAACTGCAGGAACCGCCCCTACGGGAGGTTTTAGCGCACAGAGGATTAGATTGTCGGCGATGGCCGATCTGAAAGAACAGGACGTGATCAAGACGAAGAACGTGCTAAAGTTTGGTAAAACAAGATGAAGACTGCCTTTCTACGAGATCAGGCTCCAGACGACGAGAAATGTCTGGTATTTGGAGACCTGCTCACAGGACCTGCCCGAAATTGGTACAGCCAGTTGAGCCGATCGACCCGCGATGATTGGAAGTCGTTGTCGGAAGGCTTCATGGCCCGATATGGAGGATATGGAATGTCAGCTGGAAGACAATACTACCACGCGCGGAAGAGACCGAATGAAACCCCGTTGGAATACTTGGACCGGTTGAATATAGCAGGAATGCGAGCAAAAGTGGCGTTCAGAGATGGATCGCCAGCAAGCCGACGTGAGTTTAAACTTCCATACTAAAGTCTTCCAATTTGGCTCGAAAAACAATAGCAGCGGCACTTGGCGAATTTAGAACGAACGCAGCCAAGACATTGCAAAAGCATCGCATAACACTCACAGCGCATTGCACTTTCCTGTTACACTTCCATACTAAAGTCCACAACCCTTTTTTGGCTCGCAAACAACAATAGGAAAATACTTTCACTTTACCCTGTTTAAACAGCTGGACACCATCTGTGCTAGGTCGAAGATCGTACATCGATGACATACTGATTCCAGCTACATCGTGGACCGATTTGTACTTAAGAGTGGATAGATCGCTACGTGCATGCGATAAGTGGAATTTGTCAATCATTCTGACCAAACGTTCTTGGGGACGACGTAAGGTGGACTATCTTGGTCATCAAGTATTACTCAGCAGCGGCACTTGGCGAATTCGAAACGAACGCAGCCAAGACAACAAGACATTGCAAAAATCATTGCATAACATTCACAGCGCATTGCACGTTCCTGTTACAATCCATTCGGTACGTCAGAGCAGCTGAGGAGCTACAGAGGCAATTGCAGTTTCTAACCTGATTGGTTTCATTTCTATTTCTATTTCTATTTCGATAGTACTGGTGCAGCTGGACAAGTCGCGACCCAAATCGTGGGCGACGACGGACCCAGTGTTCCGTGGAAATACGGAGCCAGAGTGGAAGGAAGGCGCGAACAATGAACTGGAGCTATTTTACGACCACGAGGTGCATCAAGACGAGGCAGTGACGCTGACGGTCGAGGTGTATGTGAACGAGTCGGGCGACGAACTTGTTGGCTCGGGCCAATTGGACGTCTCGGCCATTGTGCACAAGCAAAGCACCGAGCCACAGCATGAGCATGTCCAGCTGGGGAACAATCGAGGCGAAGTCGAAGTGCTCGTCTGGTTTGGCCCACCAGTTCGCAGGGCTTTTCGCGCTGCTGGCCGCTCGGTGAAGTTGCTGGATGCGCGAGACGCGGTCGTGGGCATGATGTGCTCGATGACGTCGTGGATTGGCCGCGTCCTGTCGCGGTACACCCAGCCGCCGACGGACTTTGCAAAGAAGCACCGCAATTTAAGCGTAGCTGTGGCGGCATTGCTGGGCATCATGGGCGCTGGAGCGCTGGCTTTGTTCCTGGCTGTTGCTGTACCGACGATGCTGGTGGCTTTTTTTACGTTCCCGTTGTGGATCATCCCGTTCCTAGTGACGACGTTCTTTGCGGCGCCGCTGTGGGTACCCATTCTGCTCTTGGTGGGTCTGTTTCTGCTGTTTATCGCCACGTTTGTCTTTGGTCTCGGGGTCACCTCGCGTCCCGTGCGTCGCAAAGGGGCTATGATATCCAACAAAATTAAGCACTCGGATGTTGGCAAGCGTGTGATCTACGAGAAGATGGCTTAAGTAGTGCCGCCTTGAGCGTGACTCATGCAGGACCAGGAAGTATGTGATGCGCGCCTTCTTTTTTCTTTTTCATCGCTGTGTAGCGTGCAGTCCCACGAGCTGGGTGAGGAGCAAGAGATAACCAATGTCGCACGATATGGATAGGCTCACGTGAAAGAGCATACAAAACTACATATACTCCATATCGTTAGCCGACCTGCAATCGATCATAACATTTGTGTTATCGCAAGTTAATAGTTCAAATCATGTTCATAACGAGTTTGACAGGGGATCCACTGACATGTCGCACGATATGAATGGCTCACGTGAAAGAGCATACAAAACTACCCCTAGAACATGTGCGAGGTTAGGTGTAACGTGCACTGCTGCCCACGGTTGTCACTGCGTGCTTCGGTAATTTTACTGTAGACAGCAAAAGTTGGTCCTTAAAAATCAAATGAAAGAAAATTTGCTCTTCCATGTTTGCCTGCATTTCTCTTCTGTCTGTCTAGTGCATCTGCAATAGAGTCTTGAAAGAAGCGAACAACCGCTTCGCGAGTCAGCAAAAATTCCTCTGCTGATTACCACAGCCTTTGCCATGGCCCTTGCCGTAGATGGAGTAGTCGTCGCCGTAGCCCTTACCGTAACCTTTTCCATAGCCGTAGTAGTCGTTTCCATATGCCTCGCATCCAAGAAGATGGAGACATAACGTACAGCGTCAGTGTCAACAGGCAAGAGCAATCGTGAACGATCGGTTAAAGATCGCTATCCAGGGCAGATCGGATCGTCACAATGACGACAGAAATCTGCTAGAGATCGATCAAGGGGCACAAGCGTGGTTGTATATGGATCGCGTGAAGGATGTATATGCTCGGAAGTTAGCCCATATGTGGCACGGACCCTTTCGAGTAATGGAAAAATGCGAAGATCATGCAGTAAATTTGGATATCGCAGGCACACCTTGTAGGTTGTTCCCGATAGTGCATGTGTCCAAGCTAAAGCCAGTGAAGATGTTCCCAGAGCGGCCTCAAAGTCAACTCAAGGTAGATGAGTCCGATCGGGTCGATTTTGACGAAGCCTTACTACCAAAAGTTAGCTAGGAAGGCGAGTTGGATGATGGTGAATTTGAGGTGACAAAGATTGTGGACGTCCGATCGGGTCGAAAGACGCGTTACGGACGAGTACACCGCCAATTTCATGTTCAATGGAAAGTTAATAGCGATCCTTTATGGGTGGATGGAGCAGAATTGAATAGTGGCGCTCTATTACAAGAATTCGATCGCGATCGGATAAGTCGAAATAGGTTCGAAGTGATGCAAACGCACGAAGAAGAGCCAGGAGTCTAGGCCAGATCGAGGTGGATGGGGTGTGTAACTTTGCAAGGAGGTTGCACATGGTCGTACGGTGGGAAAAGTTACACCATGTGGCGTTGTATGAAGGAGGAAGGTATGTTTGTAAGTATGTGTAGCAATCGAAGCACGATCGCGGCCCAAGAGGCCTGGAGTAGAAGACATTTCCGGAGAGATCAAGATTAAAGACAGTATGAAGAAATGAAATTGAAACAAGAAATGTGTTGAACTCGATAGACTACGGGGCGAAGAACTTACCGGATAGGCGAGGAAATGAAATGCCTGGGTGATTCGCGATCGAAGTCCGGTACTAATTACGACATGGCTCAGCAGAGTTCGTCAACGACAAAGCGGAAGCCAGGTTGGGAATGTTAATCTTCCCAGTCCCCAACCCGGGGTACCAGAACTGCTTCTCGTGTAAGCGAGGTAGGTGCAAGAAAACCGGATCCAGCAGAATGTCCAAGTCGCAATGGTCTTCTACCATTTCTTGAAGTATGAACTTGAGTACGGTTTTCCAAGGAGGTCCAGATCGCAATCGCCGCTGTTTGCGCTGATCGCAGAATAACGCCAGCCCAGGATCTTTATCTGTCGGCGGAAGAAATAGGCAAGGTACGGGTTGATTCCCACAACGTCTGGGTATAGCGCTCTTCGAAAGAGTGGTATAAGTCCAGCAACTGCTCGAACCACCCAACGGGCTGGAAAGATATGGGCGCAATCTTCACGCGCAAAGATTTTTAGGGCGTCTGGCAATAAAGCGCGGCAACCCGCGCCAAACAAATTAAGTGGGGAGACCACTCAGACATGGGAGGTGCTTTCGACACAGCAGGAGAGGCTGGAAAAGGGTAATTCTTGGGCCTGGCGAGATGGCGCTAGAAGAACTCCAAATCCAATTCCAACACGCTAATCCAGCTCACCCGGCGCGCAGACCAAGGTGAAACTTGAACAGAAGATTTTGGTACGCGACAGTGATACCCGGGTACTCACTGATCGCGGGGCACCTTAGTCTTGGGAATACTTTGTACTCGGCCGAAGACAACAGATTATTGGCTGGGGCTCGGACGTCTTCCGTAACGCTGATCGGACCCTCCGAACTGCTAGAAGCTTCGCCAAACAAGTCGACCTTGGAAACCTTGGGTTTTGGCCTAAGGGAAGAGGCAACTGGGGAGGCGGGGGAATCCACATCCGGGCTGGAGGTATCCACTACGATAAACTCTGGTAACGTAGAAGACGGAGTCGTCGGATTACCCAATGGGTCTTCTTTACTCCGTGAAGAAGAGCGTGATAGGGAGAGTGCAGCCAAGGTTCGAGGCCCAGAATCCGATGAATCGTCATCATCCGAGCTAGCTGGAGCAGGCGTCGGATTGCGCGCTCTGCCTTTGCCTTTGAACACCAGGTCCGGGAAGAGCGGGAGTCTTGGACGTAAGTTTTGCTTGAGATCGTGTGGAACTGTGGGGTGATCGGGAAGGGTTGTTCCTCGGGGCTTTACACGGCGGAAAGGCTCAGCGACGATACCGGACGCAGTCGGAGATTGAGTCTTGGGTGTCATCTTGACGACCGACTGCGGGGTAGCCTCGATTCTGGCTCTCTTGGTCCGCGAGGAGGAGTTAGAGCGGAAGTACTAGGGCGTTTGACACGAGCACTCGTAGTTGGGGACGTCTCAACTGGACGGGACGAGGAAGGTAAACTGGGGCCGGTAACGAGCGCGGCGATGCTCGTTTGAAGAACGTCGCGATCGCGCAACGCCTGATCGTGCTCTAGCTCCAAACCCGAGATAGTAGCTTAAAGCAGATCCACTCGATCGTCACGATCGGAGAGCAAGGAGCGCGATCGTTCATACTCAGCATCCAACTCAGCCAGATCATCCCGAAGTTGATCGCGCTCCACCGATACAGCGGCAAGAGCAGCATGCAGGTGGCGAACCGTGGTCTGAGCCTTGGTACAGTCTGCCTTGTACTTGGTTCTCTAAATTTGGCCTTCAAGAGTGCGGCTTGAAATCGAGCGTTCCTCTCATCCATGTGTCGTCGCAAGGAAGCCAGCTCGAGATCATGACGTTCTCTAAACGTATGAATTGATCGGGTCGTTTTTAGAAGTTTCGACTTTAGGTCGCTAATTTGCTGCTCGTAGCAATCCCCCGCGCGAATTGTCTCCTGAAGCAAAGCGACTTCAGCGAGTGCATTTTTCAAATCCAGACGAAGGCGACCACAACGAGTTTGAGCGAAGATCACAAAGGAGAGGCCGACTCGGTAAGAGAACGGAGTTCCCGTTCTAGTCGATCACCCCTCCGAGTTTGCTCCCGCAACGCTGGCTCCAGATCGCGATAGCTATCCACAAGATCCTGCTGGGATGCGATCCGCTGATAAATTCCAGCGATCATACCAACCGCGGTCGTTTCATCAACTATTGGTGTTTCAACTCGAGTGGTCGGCAACGGAATAGCCCCAATAGGGTCGCCACTTGCAGCAAAATTGTTCGACGACATCAAGCGTCAACGCGGAGCTCATCGGATCAGTGGTTGCAGCAGATTCTTCGACCCCAATCGGCTCTTCACTTGCAGCGGAACTGTCAAGGACATCAGGCGTCATCGTGGAGCCGATCGGTTCCGTTCTTGAAGCGAGGTCCACAGCAGCATCGAGTCCCAAAGCAGGGCCGATCGGACCTCCGCTCACCGAGGTACCTATAACCGCGTCTGTAGTGGAATCGGGGCCAGTTGGGTGTTCGCGTGGCAAAATGTCAACACCGACCGAAGGTGCGGGACTAGATTGCGTCATCACCGAGGGAGATGGCGCACAACTAGTTGGTGGCAAGCTGGGCGTGGACGACGGGGAAACCATGAAAGGCAACGAGAGAATAAAACGGAAAGTGGTGACTAAACGTGCACAAGCGAGCCAGATGTTGCAGATCGGCTATTTGAGCAGGGGGCGATTGTGGCAAAGTATATCAAGATCGGTGTCGACAAACCTCAAACGTATGCCTAAGTACGGAGTGGGGACCGGCGGAATGATCGTGGGACGAGGACCAATCATACGGATGGCGCCGTTGGGATTATTCACGGAAATATATCATCCGGTCAGAACGGGTCAGAACGGTGAAGGGGACCGCGATTGAGGGACCGCGATCAAGGGACCGCGATCTGGCGTGGACCATGCCCTGATGCGATCAGACGGTTGGTGTGTCAGGTCTGTGCCACATGGATACAAGGGGCGATCTGTAGAGGCGACGCGTGGCATCTGATTTTCCGAGTTATAGGGGTAAGGTGTGAGGGTCTGATTGGTTAACATTTAACAGAATTCAATTTGCTTCTAAACACATTCGTGTCGATCTTCTCCCGGGTTGGATATTTTGGCCTCCCGACGTCTGAGAATCTCGACATCAAGGATAGAACGGTCACTCCTGCAGCTATTTGGCCAGGAGTGCTAGGACTCTCAACACACCCCTACTGCGATCGGACGCAGCCAACCGTATCGGTTTAAGTACAAGATCGCGAGGGCCGTTCAAGTGGCCAGAAAGGCTCGCGACTCCAGTACACATTTTGGCACAAGGCGATCAGGGCAGATCACGGCGACTCTAGGAGAGTGCAAACCCAGAATACGCGATCGGGTGAGGATTTTCCACCCGATCAGCACCAATCTCTACAACGGTCAAGTTTAGCATCTCGTCGAGTCCACCTAGAAGAGTGCAACCCGCCCTGCCGACGGGTACACAAGGTGAGGAGGAAACAAGTGCAAGCGAAATCGGAGTACCCCGTCCGTTAGTCGGTCGTCTGGGCGCCAGTGGAGAGTCGGGATCGCCTCAAAAAATGAGCGAACCCCACTCCACCACTTGATCCAGACGTACAGCCAAATACTATCTTCGTTTGCTGAGGGAGTATACGGTTCAAATGTAATGGGTACGCATCATCTCGTATCTGCGCTGCACTTAGGAGACGAAGTGAAGAAGCCGATCTACGCAAACAAAACGAATTAATTTTGCAGGTGACCCTCATGTAATACTGGCGCGCGAATTAGCTGCTTTAAGAAATTAGAACTGCATAGGAGCGTGTCAAAACTGATTATCCGAACGCGAAGATAGTTGTAAAAGCAGACCAAAAGTCGTCCACAGGCACATCGAAGTGGACAAGAGACGATACCCCTAACAGAAGTGCTACGCCCAAACATGAATTACAATGCAGAAAAAACTCGACGCTGCGCCAGAATATTTCTAAGGTTCCGATGATCCCACAAAAAGAAAGGAAGGTCTGGCTGCACACAATCCTAGGAGATAGACACGAGAATTGTAACGGGACTCTCTTTGTTTGGGGTGCCACGAAACTTTACGTACAACATTACGTGCAGAGGAAGCTAATTTACTCAAACAGCTCGTTCAAGTAAAGAGTAAAAAGAGAACTGTATTTAACATAGTTAAGCTATTAATATAAGTTCAGTCTTTATCTAACTATCTTAATCTACATTGTCGTACGACGACAACCTCCTCACCACTCATTACGTGCGTCTAGCAGCGTTTGGTGGCAATCTATGGTTGATATGTCTTGTATCAACCAATCTTGGAGCAGCGCATAAATATCATCTAAAGGTGAATATGTTGGTAGAATATTGTCATGCTAGATAATATCGCTATTGATACCGTTTGGTGTCAATTTCATGTAACGGGCTACCCCGTTACATCACCCCGCCCTTGACCATCAATCACCCGTTGATTATTTTAAAATTGATTGGGACACGGTGACCACCGTTGGATCACTCTGGGAAAGGGAGCACTTGTTTATCGAATTTCATTCATTTTCCAATCCAATGCATAGTTTCGAAAACCACGCAAACTGCTACTGTAGCAGCTAGAAGGGCGGCTGCACGCATGCGTGCGGCCGCGGAAAGTGCCTCTCACACCTCAGCAGCAGGCGATTCGTCGCCTGTTGTCGTGATTCCTTCACGTGGTGAGTCACCACGTGCGACAGGTACATCCGTTGCGTCTGCAGCGGGCACCTCGAGTCGTAATCAAGTCGAGTATGAGATAGAGCTCACCTATTCTGGCGAGTCGGATGATGCATCCGACTCGAATGCGACTCCTCACGCCTACGGATCACCCGGGGCGGACGCTGAGTATGCCAGGCTGACTGGCTCTGGTCAACGCGGCGGTATCATGACCGAGACCTTCGGATCGAGTGATTACTCCGATGAGTATCTGCCTCATGCAAGTCCGTCTAACGATAGTACGCGTGGGGATGGTGATGATGCACCTATACATCACCACGAGAGAAGCAACTCGAGAGATCGAGGTGTCACTGGTGTCATTGCTCACGCTGGAACCAATCAAGAGGCCAGGGACCGAAATTTCCTGCGCCACGCTCCCCAAGTGGAGTCTCCGTGGATGCCGTCATCCAGAGAGTTGGACCGGTTGGTCGGCATGACTACCGAACGGGATCAAATCCCGTTGTTCGATTGCAGGAAGATTTGCCCACCTGATTCCAGCACGGAAACTATCCGAGCTGAGGAAGAATTATTCAACGATGCTTTTTTCAAGTATTGGTGGTACAATGGTAGCCGTGTTCAAGACGTTAAGGCCGTGGTGCAAGGCTGGAATGCCCTCATCCATTTCATCGAGCGCATTGACCGTGAAGCCTGGCTCGGTAAACTCGATGCAGCTCGCATCAGGTTTGAGAAGTGCAACCCTGTCGGGGCGCGATACAAGTTGCACCGGCAGTCAAGAGAGTCAGAATTACATCGTCTCTCGTGGAATGATTCGTGTTCAGGTTGCCTGAACAACTCGAATCGTGCCCCTAGGGAGGCCTTCCTCCCTAGTGATCTCTACTGGACGGCGCACATCTATTCTGAGATGGCCGAAGGGATTGACACTTTGGAATCCGTGTACTCGCGTTCGGGAAGGTCGTTTTCCGACGGCCCTCCTTCGAACGCAGCGGGTGGGTCTGGTCGTATTGCTCGACGTGACCCAAAACATCAACTATCAGCTGGGTACGAGGCTCCCAGTTGGCCAAAGCCGGTGGATAGCCACGCCAGCAAACGAGGTAACTCTTTCGGACGCCATTCTCATCGCGGTGGTTCAAAATACGCTTTAACAAAAAGCGTTCACCACCGCCAAAATCCACCAAAGGATGTGGTCGGAGCGTGAACACCTGATCCGGCTCGAGGGTCGGATCAGCTTGATGTTCAGGAGCTGAACCGTGTAACGGAACAGCTGCAAGATGACCTGGCTCATGAACGGACTCGGCATTATGAGCTCCAGAATCTTGTAAGGGATAACTACGATTCACTAGCGCACGATCGTTCGGACGAATCGTGCCGCGTTCACGTTCGCACAACTTGAGAACGAACGTTCGACCCGTTATCTTCCTGACAAGCTGACTGCAGCTCTTCAGGAACATCGCTCAACTGCGCAAGCAGGTCGCTTCGCTAGTCAACCAGACTGGCTCGTTGAAACGGGACCACTCGAAGGTGGTCTTGGCTCTTGACCGCGGAGGTGTTCTTCGCCTCTCGAATCGGGCTCGTACTGATAGTACGGGCGGAGACGACCGGCGTAAAACGTAGAATGCGTGAGCATCTCACAAGGCATTCAATCGTGTATGCGTTGCCCAATTCGGCGCAACACACGAAATGGACCGATATACTTGGGCATTGATTTACTGCTGCCCACGTTTGTCACTGCGTGTTTTGGTAGATTTACTGTAGACAGTAAAACTCAGTCTCTTTCATCAAATGAAAGAACATTTTCTCTTCCATGTTTGTCTGCGTTTCTTTTCTGTCTATCTATCGCGTTCTGCAATAGAGTCTTGAACGAAGCGGACAACCGCTTCGCGAGTCAGCAGAAATCCCTCTGCTGATTCATCCTTGTAGACAGCAGTGCGCTTCGTGTGCAATGCTGAAAGAACGTTGTCTTCACCAGTGAGGGCGTCATCGTCCTCACTGTGGCAGTCATTGGTGATGCTGAATATACCAGCATCGTCGTCATCATCATCATCGATGTCAATCGCATCGACATCGGCATCCATCACGTCGACACCATTTTCGAAGGGTGATGAGCAAGAACCAGATCGGTTTCGTTCGAGCGATTCCACCCCCCCCCTAAACTAGAGTCACACTCCATAAGACACGTACACAAGGATACCTTAGGCCATTCACGATGAACGGTGTATGCGTTGTTGACGCATGCACCGAGTTGTTGATGGCAAATTCCGCCATCGGCAAGAGCTCACTCCAGCTCTCTAAAAAATGGACGTACTCTCGAAGTATCTTTTCGAGGACGCGGTTGACGCGTTCCGTCTGAACATCTTTTTCTGGATGGTCAGAAGTCGACATCTTCAACCGTGTTCTAAGTGAACGGAACACCGATTTCCAGAACTCCGCTGTGAAGCGGATGTCCCGATAGGACACGAGTTCACGGGTTAACCCGCGAAGTCGGAAGATAGTATCGATGAAGACACGAGCACAGCCCTGGGCTGTGATTTACTCCGGTACAGCAACAAGATGCACCATCTTGCTGAATCTATCAACAAACACAAGATTACCAGTATTCTTGTGAACTTCTTTGAAAAACCCAACGGCGAAGTCCATCGATACGGGCTGCCAACACTCTACCGGAATCGGTAGAGGCTGCAAGGGTGCGCGAGATGAAGGACTAGGTTTCACTCGCTGACAAACTTCGCAAGCGCGAATATATTTGCGCACAACTATTACTGGCGGGGCCAGTAGAAGTCACGACTCAACATGAGGTAAGTCTTTTCTCTACCGCGATGCCCATTTGTTGGGGCACCATGACACTCATACATAATGCTCAATCGCAAATCACTTTGAGCCAGAACGGCAACACGAGGTGTGTCGCCGTTGACTGCTGTATAGTACAGCAGTACATCACGAACCGAATACTGTTCGGTTGAAGAGCGGTATTGAGACGAAAAGCTTTTCAAAGCTTGATTGCATGGACTGAATACATAATCCGTCAACCGCAGAAGATACTCATTTTCTGCGTACGCTTTTCGCACGTCGTCGAGCAGATTCGACGACGGAACACTCACTGTTAGTGTCGCTACAGTAGGATCACCCCTACTGTTGGGTTGAGCAGTCGGCTAGAAATCGGGCCAACGCGAAAGAGCATCAGCGACGACATAAAGTCTTCCTGGTGTATACTCGACGAAGAAGTTGTACTTCGCGGAGAAAGACGGCCACATCGCCATTCGTTACGAAAGGTGTGGACTGTTTACAAGCGTGCGTAATGAAGCATGGTAGGTATAAACGATGAAGGGCCTATCTCCTAAGCGATATACCCGTAACTTAGCCAGTGCATATTTCATGACAAGGAGTTCCTTGTCATTCACCGGTAATTACTCTTAGCTGCTTGCATCTGACGAGATTGATAACAGACGACGCGCTCAACGCCGTCGGAGTCGTACTGCATTAACACGCAGCCGATTGTAAAATTGCTGGCGTTAAGTTCACATGGAACGGTCTGTCCTGGTCTGCAATCGCCAACACAGGAGATTGCACCAAGCTTTTCGTGAGACCTTCAAAAGAGTGCTGACACTAAGCGCTCCATGATCAACTCTCGTTTTTCTTTAGCAGGCGAGAGAGATGTACGGTCATCTCGGCGTAGTTGCGCGAGTACTTGTGCAAGCACGCTGCCAAGCCAAGGAACTTTCGAAGTCCCTTGACGTCGACTGGCACAGGCCAGTCGCTAATCGCCTTGATCTTTTCCGGATCAGGGCGTACACCGTTTTTACCCACGATGCAGCCAAGAAGTAATGTTTCGATCGCTGCGTATATACACTTTTCGACGTTCGTGAGAAACTTATGATCTCGCATTAGTGTAAGAACCCTTCCGGACGTGGATTCTATGAACCTCCACGTCCGTCTTTCCATCCATATCCCGGCTATGGACGAAGACCCTTTCGAAGTAACCCGGTGCAAAATCTTGCACCGATCGCAACAGATTTGTAACACATCTGTTGAACGTTGCGGGGGAGTCACTTAGCCCCTGTGGCATCACTAGCCACTCCCACAGCATACCACTGGGGGTAATCACTGCTGTGTACGTGATGTCCCGTTCACGCATGGGGATCTGATAGAATCCATCCATCAGATACATGGATGAAAAGATGGTACTTTTTTGCCATACCATCAATGATTACGTCCTTCCTTTGCATCGGCGTCTGAGCCGATACCGTTGCAGCGTTCAATTTGTTGAAAGCGTGCAATATTCACCACCCTCCTGTGGCCTTTCGCACACAGAAGGTCGGCGAGCTGTGTGGGGATGTTATTCCCTAACATGACCAGCTGCTAAGTTATCAGAAAAGAACTAGTCGATCGCTGTGACCTGATTACGAGGCAATGACCACTGCTTCATGACACAGTGCTTCGAACCAGTTTTCAGTTTAGTCTCACGCCAAATGCCTTTGTCTTTGGGCAACTCGCATGGTACGGATTCAGGGAAAACATCCCTCAATTCAACTAAATTGTTTTTAAAGGAAATGTTTTCATAATCTCCTAAGATTGAGACGTGTATCGCTCAGTCCGAGTCTTCTTGTCGAGGACACTCTCACTCATCGATGATCCACTGAGAACCAGTTCGCTCTCAGCAAACACTTGTGCCGACCGAATATCGACGACGTACTCGTCATCTGTGACGAATACGCAGATCTGACTGATCTTGTCACTACGCAGATCTTGCAAGGATCTTTTAGATTCTACCGTTGGCAGCTTGATTACCTCCGAAGCTGAATTCGGAAGTGTAACCAGATCAAGTGTATAAGCGCCTACACTTGATCCATCATTCATCAAGACATTAACTGTCTCGGTGCTTTCCTGGGGAAACGCATCCGCAGGTGGTTGGGGATCCACTCCCTCAACGTAACTCTCTCGGGAGTTATCACTCTCAGGAACGCTGGAACTTTATTCCAATACGTGTTATGACTGTGGGTGTACTTTCACGGTCACGTCCTCATCGATGGACTCTCTTTCAGTCGATCGCTCTTGCTCTACGATCGACTCTCTGATAGTCGATTTCGATGTGACTTGTTGTCCATCCTGAGCACCACTAATCTATCTTCTTGGACGCACCCTTCTTGGTGTGCATCCGTGTTCCATTCCACTCGATCTCTTCAAGTGATAACCTTCGGCGCAGCCTGTCTCTCTTCACAGGTGCCGGAAGCTGGTTCCACAGTGTAGTGGCCTTCGACACTGTGATCTCGTGCAATCATACTAACGACCGTACCACAAGTGAGGCCATCGCACTCACTCGTAGTACATCCACACGCTTTTGGACGCTCCAAGACGTTCATCAGATGGCCATCTGATGAACAAACGGCAGGCGTCTTCACGGATCGATGCTGCCAGCTGACCCATGGCTGGTGCTTTCTAAGCCATGGCAGACCAAGGATGATACCAAATTTGTCATCCAAATCTAGTACGATGAAGTCGTGATCGTACTGTCTTCCTTCTAGCGTTTAGTGGATCCCCGCTACACGTTTGTTCACTGTTACGGATGTGCCTGTAGCAAGGAACACCGTCATCCTCGTTGGAGGAAACTCTCGCCCAACATAGTTGAGACTACTATCCCATTGCGACTGGAATCGAATAAAACTTTTCGACGCCCCACAGTCAACAAGGGCGCGAAATGATTTTCCACTTGTCACTTTGATCTTCAAAGTGATGAGGGATTCCTCATCAGTAGGGACAGTAACACACAGTATCTGTGTGCTGGGAGGAATTTTCTTCCAGAGTCCTGCAAATTCTCTTGACGTTGCTGGATCAGAAGGGTGCTCCACCCCTACTGACCCTGACCGTTTTTGACGGTCCGACTTGCTGTCGGACTTAGCGACATGGTCGGAGCCACGCCTTGGACCTTTCCTTGGCCAACGATGGCCATCGCGTCCTGTCTTTGGACGTGTTGCGGTGCTTGGGACACTACACTCATGAGCGTAGTGTCCAATCTTCTGACAGCGATGGCATCTTGCTGTTCGCTTGTGACTCAGAGAGCGAGAGTTCTCGCTCTCGATATAACAGAGGTCCATTGTTTCGGGACCTCCTGTTTCCTGTTGTCTCGTCGGACGATAGCCTGAGACTGTCTCAGGCTGAAGTCTTCGTGTTCCGCGTACGCTATCATCTTTTCCAGCATATGGAAGTCCTCTGGAATATGTAGAACACCACCGGCCCATTTACAAGACCGTAGATGAACACGTTGATGAGCGTGTGCTCATCAACAGGGTTTTCCGTGACACTACTCGTAAGGTAGCGTAGACGTTGTGCATAAGCGTGCACGTCACGCTTACCTTGCTTTAGCCTCAAGAGTGCAGAGCGTGCTCTGCACTCGGCTCTTGGCGTCTCAAACGTTTCTTTGAAAAGAAAATGCAGGATTTCCAACGACTCAAACACGGTTGGGTCATGAAGCTTGATCCTAAGGCCCAAGTCTTTGCTCGTCCTGTCAAATTTGACAGGGAGAAGCTGACTTGCATCTCGTCACCCTCGATGTGACGGGCCCTGATGGTGTCGTCTAACTCAACAAACCTTCTCAAAAGGGAATCTTCATCGGTTCCTTTGTACCTTGAGATATCAATCTTCAAGGTTTCAGGTCGACGCATGTGCGTCGGCCCGCCCATCGACTGGTGAGAGCCTTGCTGTCGAAGCAAGGCTATCTTGTGTCATTCGACGGCAAGTTTCCCTTGTAGGAACTTGTTGATAGCAGTATGTTGCTGGTCTCTGATTAGAGACTCCAACATGCCTCTGATGGCGGGTTCGCCCATAATCACACTCATGCGGCCGACTACCACTCATTCTAAGTCACTCAGATGGGAGTAGCCTTCATGTGTGACGTGAAAGCAGTCGTCTTCTACGTCCAACATGTTTATGTTGGACGGACACTTAGTAGTCGTTGGACGGACTACGAAGTGCTTCCAGGTGTAACGAGCACACTTTATTTGGGGTGCCACGAGACTTTACGTACAACATTACGTGCAGAGGAAGCTAATTTACTCAAACAGCTCGTTCAAGTAAAGAGTAAAAAGAGAACTGTATTTAACATAGTTAAGCTATTAATATAAGTTCAGCCTTTATCTAACTATCTTAATCTACATTGTCGTACGACGACAACCTCCTCACCACTCATTACGTGCGTCTAGCAGCGTTTGGTGGCAATCTATAGTTGATATGTTTTGTATCAACCAATCTTTGAGTAGCGCATGAAGATTATCCTAAAAGGGGATACTATTCCTTCAATATTACCTACTTTGGGTAATATTGTCAGGCAATTGTCACGCTGGACAATATCGCTTTTGACACCGTTTGGTGTCAATATCATGTAATGGGCTACCCCGTTACAAATCAGATCCACCGATCTTTATTTGGTGTGGACACACAACACAATCGGTTCAATAATCGCGTGTAACCCCGTTACAGTAAAGGTGTTCATTGTAATAGAGTTGTCGTAACAGGGAAGGTTGCAATATGAAGGTGAGTGTCTTGTGGGTGCTGAAATTCTTCTTGTTGCGTTCATTCTCTCTGAATAATCAGAAGCACAGTTTTTTTTTACCTCACATCTAACTGTAGCCAATCAGAACGGTGGCTTATAGCTAGTCAAAATTAATTATTGGGGGGTTGGATGGTCAACGTTTGGGTGGTGGATGGATAACGCTTCATTTTAAATGAATCCCCCTTAACTAAACTGTCATCTCACTCTTCTACAGCTGTGCTATGATCGTCATGTCTTCATATGTAGAGCATGCAAATGCCGTCATATAATCTTTCGCTTCAGCAGTTTGGCAAAAAAATTGGTTGAACAGTAGTGCACATATTAGTTCGTCAAAAATCGAGCTGACGTATGAGTCCGAGCAGAGGATAGACGAATTTTTCTTTATCTTCCCTCGTACACGCAACGGCATCCATACACGCTCACCTTCGATCTTCAATGGACACTGCGCACTACTCAAACGAACGAAACAAGTTCACTACAACATCCTTGCCAGTTAGCCCTGCAGTTGGATCTAATATTCGCGTTAGTCCACCTGCAATCTCTCACGAATGCTTGTTACCAAATGTGTACCCTCCTATAAACTCTTTTAAAGGCACAACTACTCTTTCAAATGCACACCTACAGATCTACTTACTCTTTAACAGGAATCTGCAATGACCTGTTACATTTCACCACCGCATGCTGTTCGATGGACCGAAGTCTTTTTTATCGATACCGTGCTGCATCATCAGTAATGCCAGATCTCGGAGTCCATTTTCCGTGGACTTGACGTGCACCATGATGATTTTTAGCAGCTTTGGCACTCCGACACACTGCTTCACTGCGTCATACAGCGATGTGGTTGCCTCGTCCAGCAGAAGTTTAACTTTGGCATCCGTCTTCTCCATTGTTTCAGTCGAATCTGGGTGGATCGGCTTCTGCTGTCGATGCTCCAGCCAAAGTCTTCTTTCGTCCAATAGATGAGGGGTGATGTAGGCGAAATACTTCATGAGCAAATTCATTCCCGAGGGATTCTCAATTCCAATAGTAGATCGCACAAACTCGACAACCTCCACAGGAGTCATCTCCTTCTTCCACGTTTCGAACTGACGAGCTAGTACTTCACTCGACAGAACAATCTGCGTCTCCACGTGTTCGGGTTGCTGAGCTGATTTCGCCGCCACCTTGCGTTGCAACCGAGCACGCACACTGTCTGACTTGGCTGCCGATGCACTCGGATGGGAGTTTGCAGGTAAAGGAGCGACAGCCTGCTTTACAGTCGGTCTAACAGGCGCCCAGTAGTAGCGCTTTCGTGGACGAGACCTTGGCATCAGATACAATTGCGGATATAGGAGCCCCCGATCTCTCTTGATCACTATCAATGATGGAAGCGCTCGAACTTGTCTCACCGGGTGAGGTTTCGTCCTTCGGGAACAGAGTGAGATTCGCGGGGGAAGCGGCTACAGATGATGGGCTCTCGACACATGCAAGGGCTACGGCAATGGCAACGTTGTACACACGCATGCTCAAGAATGAAGCTGAGTTGGTTTGTGTACGATATGGCAAATTGTGGATTGTCAATTTTTGTGGCCATTCAAGCGCCGTAGCAGGCCGGCGATGGGGCAATGCATCACATAGTAGAGCCGGGCCAACCCTACGCGCTTTTGTTCATGCTATTCTACATGTTTTTCTCAAGTATTTTCCAGAGCTAAATCATGCACTCTGTCGAGTTTTGTAAAGTCTTTATGTACAGTTCCCTATGCATGATCAGCTTTCGTAAACCCCACGTTGTCGCGGCAGTTTCCTACCACCTGCGGCTGATCTGACTGATGTCCATTGATGTCGGAGATAAGAAAGACAAACATAGCGAGACTGCTTCAAAAAATTAAACTTATTTTCTGATTGCAAGATGACATAAGCAAAAAAAGATTAAATGATCCAGTAAAGATGAGACCAACAGATTGCGTGCCACATCATGCATTCTAGCTGGCTGCGGGGTAGACAAATATCGAATAAATGCACAAGAAAGAAGAGAGTCGCCTGTTTAATTGCCCATACTTCATGCACATCAATTTTTACAAGCTTGGATGCATCATGCGATGTCCTGGTCGAACGTTGACTACAGCACAACTGCTGCAATCATTAGCGATGTGCAGAAGCTGAAAGATTGATCAGATCGAACCTTTGTTCTATTCGCCTGTCTTTGACCAATGTATCGAGTTAGGTCCGTGTCGCACCGGTCCACACAAAGCAGTTTCAGTGCAGAGCAACTGCTACCCAGTAGCTGGGTGAATTTTTACGAGAAGCACAGCTTTATGTGCGAAAGGCTCTGTAATCTCGAGAGGACACCTGAGCCGATATGCTCCTGTATGTCCCGATACAGCGGCAATTACCATCGTGTACTCCATTGGAGCTTTGGGCACTAGACTAGCGTGCCCAGCTATGGCTCGCTAGCTTCATGTCACCTTTCGTAATTTGATTGCTGCGCTCATTGCGTCCTTGGGTGTGTTCTTTATGCAATTTCAATCACGTGTGACCCAAAATGCGAATAAAACGTTCAACCATCTTTCTTTGGTGTCTGGGCAGCTGACGCTTCGTTTAAGTTCGATCGGTTGCGTTTATAGTAAATCCAGTGAGAATGTGTCACATACGAACAAGATAGACTGGATTTTACGGACTACATGCGCAACCACCACGCCACTTCTTCTACAGCTTTCTCTGCTAACACGCGAACAACAAGCACTGGTATCAACTCCACAAAGTCTCGATAGCGAACTTTCAACAAATGCGCCTTCGGGCAACCACGATTAAGCGACAAAGACTGATGAAAATTAGGCAACCGTTCCTCTTACCCTGCGTGGGACCTTTTTTATTATGGAACCGAGATTAAAGAGAGGGGGGCTCCTTGCCGCTGCGTGCGCTACGGGACCATCGCAGTGTGCAAACCGAATTGGGAGCATCTACCAAGTTTCCTCGGGCTATGGGACACGGCAACAGCGGATGTCACTCCACATAAGTCCTGCTGCTATTTTGCGCCAGCTTTCTGGCTACCGGCCCGGTCGCCGGGCCATGAATCTCGGTACGAAGAAGCAAACTTGCCTACAACGTGATTTTGATACGCCCTGTCCAGGTACGTCATCGACTCATCGGTGGTGCTCAAAGAGATACCTAGTTGCGTGTTCTGGGGACCTGAACATCTCCGGCCGAGCGATTCCTTATGCCAACTCTATCTCCAGCTGCACAAATACACATAATGAGTTTTTTGGGTCTTAATTAGCATTCGTCTTGTCAGACGGCAAAATAAATGGCGATGCATAGCGTCGACTTTCACGGAAAGAGAAAATCAAAAGTATAGATTATATATGTCATAAACAAGTTGTGCAATAAATTAGAAGTTATCAAAACCTGAACCTGTTTAAAGGAAAGGGTTTATTATTTGGAGGCTTTAATTTATAAATCATATTTATTCGAATATTCTGCGTAAAAGATACATCATGGAATAAAATGATTTATTATTTTTCCATTAAGTTCAAACCGGGTATTTATTTTATTCTTAAACTTTATCGGTTTTTCTACAGCTAAAATTTCTATATTCAAACAAAATGTCTTTCTATTTGTTCGCATCAAATAAATTCTATTTTACTAAAGAATAAAAACATTAGTTTTAACAAAACAAAATGTTTCTAATGCGTAATAAAAGAATTAATTTACTTTTTATAAAAAAATGATGCATTTTATTTAATTTGACAAAAAGTGCTGTTGTCCAAAATAACTGATTTTATCTGCGTTTTATAGTTTTAAACAAAAAATTCATGACATCATTAAAAGTAAAAGAATAAAAATAAAAATATTTGTTTTCCTTTAATTTTGTTTTTTTTAAAACAAAAATATTAAATTCTGGGTTATTTGTCATTTCTTTTTTTATAAAAATCAATACATTCATCCATTTATTCCCTTTGTCAAATTTACCTCTAAATCCTATAATAATTGAAAAAAGATTAGATAAGTCAATTAAATTTTATTTTCTATTTAGATGATATGTTAATTTTAAAAATTTGAACATTTTTGATTTTGTATGGATATTAAGCATCTATACATTTTTTCTTTAAGTATCAAAGAATAGTTCTGTTTACAAGTGTAGTTAGGAATTGTGTCATTTAGTGTAATAGATGTGTTTTTTTAACGTTTTAATTCCAATATTTTTAATTATTGGAATTTGGGGCACAATATAATTAGGAGGAGAACCACAACCCCGCAAAGGTCCCAGCCATAAATTGGAGACGAACTAGCCCCCAAACAGCCCAGCTTCACATTCGACGTGTCACCTCCCGCCGCAAGAGTAATTATATGAGATTACGCGGACCTACGGATATATGACCGTCAGGATAGGGTAAGAACAAGGTCCGCCTATGGCATACTAATTTAGGGTCTGACATGTAGCCAATCAATTTTTCTGCAACTTCAGGGTGTTATGGTGGAAATGACGAGCTCATCCGCGACTGTGCACACGTGCTATTAGGACATTATTTAATTCGTATTGGTTAAGCTGACTACTGCGTCACCGATTTCTTTGATGTACCGGCGTCTGTGGACAGGATCCAGAAGGCGATCACAAAACAAGAATTTAAGCTTGGTGTAGCTAGATACACAGCTCCTTAAGTCAGAGGAAGACTTAACGCTAAACAAGCAACTTAGCTCTAAAGAACTAGACTAAATGAGTCAACAAGCGTAAAGCTCATGGTCCTTGTTCCAGGGGACCAAACGATTCAGTGAATCGACAGCACTTAGTGCTCAAGAGTAACGATCTCCATCAAGGAGGTGGTGCTAACTCGTAGTGATCAGTGACCAATGACCATAAACGCCTCGCAAGGCGCGTGTGTACCGTGGCAGCCCATTACATGATATTGACACCAAACGGTGTCAATAGCGATATTGTCCAGCGTGACAATTGCCTGACAATATTACCCAAGGTAGGTAATATTGAAGGAATAGTATCCCCTTTTAGGATAATCTTCATGCGCTACTCAAAGATTGGTTGATACAAGACATATCAACCATAGATTGCCACCAAACGCTGCTAGACACACGTAATGAGTGGTGAGGAGGTTGTCGTCGTACGACAATGTAGATTAAGATAGTTAGATAAAGGCTGAACTTATATCAATAGCTTAACTATGTTAAATACAGTTCTCTTTTTACTCTTTACTTGAACGAGCTGTTTGAGTAAATTAGCTTCCTCTGCACGTAATGTTGTACGTAAAGTTTCGTGGCACCCCAAAAAAGTGTGCTCGTTACACCTGGAAGCACTTCGTAGTCCGTCCAACGACTACTAAGTGTCCGTCCAACATAAACATGTTGGACGTAGAAGACGACTGCTTTCACGTCACACATGAAGGCTACTCCCATCTGAGTGACTTAGAATGAGTGGTAGTCGGCCGCATGAGTGTGATTATGGGCGAACCCGCCATCAGAGGCATGTTGGAGTCTCTAAACAGAGACCAGCAACATATTGCTATCAACAAGTTCCTACAAGGGAAACTTGCCGCAGAAAGACAGAAGATAGCCTTGCTACAACAGAAAGGCTCTCACCAGTCGATGGGCGGGCCGACGCACATGCGTCGACCTGAAACCTTGAAGATTGATATCTCAAGGTACAAAGGAACCGATGAAGATTCCCTTTTGAGAAGGTTTGTTGAGTAAGACGACGCCATCAGGGCCCGTCACATCAAGTGTGACGAGATGCAAGTCACCTTCTCCCTGTCAAATTTGACAGGACGAGCAAAGACTTGGGCCTTAGGATCAAGCTTCACGACCCAACCGTGTAAGAGTAATTAGAGACCTTAAATTCTCGGCTCAAAGAAATGTCTAAGCCGCCAAGAGCCGAGTGCAGAGCACGCTCTGCACTCTTGAGGCTAAAGCAAGGTAATCGTGACGTGCACGCTTATGCACAACGTCTACGCTACCTTACGAGTAGTGTCACGGAAAACCCTGTTGATGAGCACACGCTCATCAACGTGTTCATCTACGGTCTTGTAAATGGGCCGGTGATGTTCTACATGTTCCAATAGGACTTCCATATGCTGGAAACGACGATAGCGTACGCGGAACAAGAAGACATCAGCCTAAGACAGTCTCAGGCTAACTTGTCAAACTATCGTCCGACGAGACAACAGGAAACAGGAGGTCCCGAAACAATGGACCTCTGTTATATCGAGAGCGAGAACTCTCGCTCTCTGAGTCACAAGCGAACAGCAAGATGCCATCGCTGTCAGAAGATTGGACACTACGCTCATGAGTGTAGTGTCCCAAGCACCGCAACACGTCCAAAGACAGGACGCGATGGCCATCGTTGGCCAAGGAAAGGTCCAAGGCGTGGTTCCGACCATGTCGCTAAGTCCGACAGCAAGTCGGACCGTCAAAAACGGTCAGGGTCAGTAGGGGTGGAGCACCCTGCTGATCCAGCAACGTCAAGAGAATTTGCAGGACTCTGGGAGAAAATTCCTCCCAGCACACAGATACTGTGTGTTACTGTCCCTACTGATGAGGAATCCCTCATCACTTAGAAGATCAAAGTGACAAGTGGAAAATCATTTTGCGCCCTTGTTGACTGTGGGGCGTCGAAAAGTTTTATTCGATTCCATTCGCAATGGGATAGTAGTCTCAACTATGTTGGGCGAGAGTTTCCTCCAACGAGGATGACGGTGTTCCTTGCTACAGGCACATCCGTAACAGTGAGCAAACGTGTAGCGGGGATCCACTACACGCTAGAAGGAAGACAATACGATCACGACTTCATCGTACTAGATTTGGATGACAAATTTGGTATCATCCTTGGTCTGCCATGGCTTAGAAAGCACCAGCCATGGGTCAGCTGGCAGCATCGATCCGTGAAGACGCCTGCCGTTTGTTCATCAGATGGCCATCTGATGAACGTCTTGGAGCGTCCAAAAGCGTGTGGATGTACTACGAGTGAGTGCTATGGCCTCACTTGTGGTACGGTCGCTAATATGATTGCACGAGATCACAGTGTCGAAGGCCACTACACTGTGGAACCAGCTTCCGGTACCTGTGAAGAGAGACAGGCTGCGCCAAAGGTTATCACTTGAAGAGATCGAGTGGAATGGAACACGGATGCACACCAAGAAGGGTGCGTCCAAGAAGATAGATTAGTGGTGCTCAGGATGGACAACAAGTCACATTGAAATCGACTATCAGAGAGTCGATCGTAGAGCAAGAGCGATCGACTGAAAGAGAGTCCATCGATGAGGACGTGACCGTGAAAGTACACCCACAGTCATAACACAAGTTGGAATAAAGTTCCAGCGTTCCTGAGAGTGATAACTCCCGAGAGAGTTACGTTGAGGGAGTGGATCCCCAACCCCCTGCGGATGCGTTTTCCCAGGAAAGCACCGAGATAGTTAAGGTCTTGATGAATGACGGATCAAGTGTAGGCGATTACACACTTGATCTGGTGACACCCCGAATTCAGCTTCGGAGGTAATCAAGCTGCCAACAGTAGAATCTAAAAGATCCTTGCGAGATCTGCGTAGTGACAAGATCAGTCAGATCTGCGTATTCGTCACAGATGACGAGTACGTCGTCGATATTCGGTCGGCACAAGTGTCTGCTGAGAGCGAACTGGTTCACAGTGGATCATCGATGAGTGAGAGTGTCCTCGACAAGAAGACTCGGACTGAGCGATACACGTCTCAATCTTAGGAGATTAAAAGAAAAAAACCTTTAATTACAATTTAGTTGATTTGCGGGATGTTTTCCCTGAATCCGTACCATGCGAGTTGCCCAAAGACAAAGGCATTTGGCGTGAGACTAAACTGAAAACCGGTTCGAAGCACTGTGTCATGAAGCAGTGGTCATTACCTCGTAATCAGGTCACAGCAATCGACTAGTTCTTTTCTAATAACTTAGCGGCTGGTCATGTTAGAAAATAACATCCCCACACAGCTCGCCAACCTTCTGTGTGCGAAAGGCCACAGGAGGGTGGTGAATATTGCACGCTTTCAACAAATTGAACGCTGCAACGGTACCGGCTCAGACGCCGATGCAAAGGAAGGACGTCATCATTGATGGTATGGCAAAAAGTACCATCTTTTCATCCATGTATCTGATGGATGGATTCTATCAGATCCCCATGCGTGAACGGGACATCCCGTACACAGCAGTGATCACCCCCAGTGGTATGCTGTGGGAGTGGCTAGTGATGCCACAGGGGCTAAGTGACTCCCCCGCAACGTTCAACAGATGTGTTACGAATATGTTGCGATCGGTGCAAGATTTTGCACCGGGTTACTTCAAAAGGGGCTTCGTCCATAGCCGGGATATGGATGGAAAGACGGACGTGGAGGTTCATAGAATCCACGTCCGGAAGGGTTCTTACACTAATGCGAGATCATAAGTTGCTCACGAACGTCGAAAAGTGTATATTCGCAGCGATCGAAACATAACTTTTTGGCTGCATCGTGGGTAAAAACGGTGTACGCCCTGATCCGGAAAAGATCAATGCGATTAGCGACTGGCCTGTGCCAGTCGACGTCAAGGGACTTCGAAAGTTCCTTGGCTTGGCAGCGTACTTGCACAAGTACTCGCGCAACTACGCCGAGATGACCGTACATCTCTCTCGTCTGTTAAGAAAGACGAGAGTTGATCATGGAGTGCTGAGTGTCAGCACTCCTTCGAAATTATCAAGAAAAGCTTAATACAATCGCCTGTGTTGGCAATTGCAGACCAGGATAGACTATTCCATGTGGTCTGTGACTCCAGCGATTTTGTAAATCGGCTGCGCATTAATGCAGTACGACTCAGACGCGCGTCGTCTGTTATCAATCGCGTCAGCTACAAGCAGCTGAGCGTAATTACCCGGTGCATGAAAAAGAACTCCTTGCCATAAAATGTGCACTGGCTAAGTTTCGGGCATATCTCTTAGGAGGGTAGGCGCTTCATCGTTTATACCGACCATGCGTCATTACGCTCGGCCGTAAACAGTCCACACCTCTCGCAACGAATGGCGAGGTGGCTGTCTTTCTTCGCGGAGTACACTTCTCCGTCGAGTATAAACCAGGTCGACACAATGTCATCACAGATGCTCTTTCGAGCCGGCCCGATTTCGAGCCGACTGCCACTATTCCAATATTATCAGTGAGTCTTTCGTCGTCTAATCGGCTCGACGACGTGCGAGAAGCATACGCAGAAGATGAGTCTCTTCTGCGGTTGACGGATTATGTATCCAATCCATGCAGTCAAGCTTTGAGAAGCTTGTTGTCTCGATATTGCTCTTCAGCCGAACGGTATTCGGTTCGTGATGGACTGATGTGCTATACAGCAGTCAACGGAGACACACCTCGTGTCGTCGATCCGGCTTATAATGATTTGCGATTGCGCATCAAGTATGAGTGTCACGATGCCCCGATAAGTGGGCATCGCGGTAGGGAAAAGACTAACCTCACGATAAGTCGTGACTTCTACTGGCCACACCAGTATGAGTTTGTGCGCAAATACATATGCGCTTGAAAAGTTTGTCAACGGGTGAAGCCTAGTCCTTCACCCGCGCACCCTTGCAGCCTCTACCAATTCTGGCAGAGTGGTGGCAGTCCGTATCGATAAACTTCGTCTTCGTGTTTCCTAAAGACACTCACAAGAATACTGGTACTCTTGTGTTTGTTGATAGATTCAGCAAGATGGTACATCTTGATGCTGTACCGGAGTCAATCACAGCCCAGGGCTGTGCTCGTGTCTTCATCGATACTATAATCCGACGTCACGGGTAACCCCGTGAACTCGTGTCTGATATGGACCCCCGCTCTACGGCGGAGTTCTGGCAATCTGTGTTCCGTTCATTGGAACACGTTTGACAATGTCGACTTCTGACCATCCGGAAACAGATGGTCAGACGGAACGCTTCAACCGCGTCCTCGAAGAGATACTTCGAGGGTGTTTCCACTCGTTTACGAGCTGAAGTGAAATCTTGCCGATGGCGGAATTCGCCATCAACAACTCGGAGCATGCGTCGGCAACGCATACACCGTTCTTCGTGAATTGTCCTACGCCATTCCACGTTTACACGTCTTCTTAGAGTGTGATCCTAATTTAAGGGGAATGGTGGACTCGCTCGAACAAAACCCGATCTGGGTCTTGCTCATCACCTGTCGACATTGGTGTCGACGTAATTTATGCCGATGTCGAGGCGATCGATATCGATGATGACGATGACGGCGATGATTGTATATTCAGCATTGCCAATGACTGCCACAGTGAGGAAGATGACGCCCTCACTGGTGAAGACAACGTTCTTTTAGCAGTGCACACGAAGCGCCCTGTTGTCGACAAGGATGAGTCAGCAGAGGATTTTCTGCTGAATCGCGAAGCGGTTGTCCGCTTCGTTCAAGACTCTATTGCAGATGCAATAGACAGACAGAAAAGAAACGCAGACAAACATGGGAGAGCAAAGGTCCTCTCACTTGATGAAGAAGACCTATTTTACTGTCTAAAGTAAATCTACCGAAACACGCAGTGACAAACGTGGACAACAGTAAATTACTGCCCAAGTATATCGGTCCATTTCGTGTATTGCGTCGAATGGGCAACGCACACACGATTGAACTGCCTCGTAAGATCCGCTCGCATCATACGTTTTACGTTGGACGTCTCCGCCCGTACTATCAGTACGAGCCCTTGCCGAGAGGCATCGAACATCTCCACGGTCAAGAGCCGAGACCATCTTCGAGTGGTCCCGTTTCGGCAAGCCAATATGGTCGACTAGCGAAGCGACCTGCTCACGCAGTTGAGCGATGTCTCGACGAGTTGCAGTCAGCTCGTCACGAAGAGAATGAATCGAACGTTCATTACAAAGTTGCGCGAACGCAAACGCGGCACATTCTTCCGAAAGATCGTGCACTAAGGAATTGTAATCATCCTTTACAAGATCATGGAGCTCATAACGGCCAGTCCGTCCATGAGTCAGGTCATCTAGCAACTGTTCCGTTACACGGTTCAGCTCTTGAAAATGAAGCTGATCCGACTCTCGAGCCGGAGCAGGTGTTCCCGCCACCACCACATCCTTTGGGGGGTTCTCGCGGAGGTCAACGCTTTTTGGTAAAGCGTATTTTGAACCACCGCGATGAGAATGGCGTCCGGACGAGTTACCTCGTTCGATGGCGTGTCTATCCACCGGCGTGGGACAGCTGGGAGCCTCGTGCCCAGCTGATTGTTGATGTCCTTGGTCTCGTCGAGCAATACGACCAGACCCACCTGCTGAGTTCGAAGAAGGGCCGTCGGAAAACGACCTCCCGGAACGCGAGTACAGAGATTGCAAGGTGTCAATCCCTTTGGCCATCTCGGAAGAGATGCGCGCTCTCCAGTAGGGATCATTAGGGAGGAAGTCCTCCCTAGGGGCACGATTCGAGTTGTCCAGGCAACCTGGACACGAATCACCCCACGAGAGACAGGGTAATCCTGCCTCTTTTGAAAGCCGGTGCAACTTGATCGTGCCCCAATTGGGTTGCGTTTCTTAAATCTGATGCAAGCCGCTTCAAGTTTGGCGAGCCAGGCCCAACGGCTAATGCACTCGATGTTGCGGATGAGGGCTTTCCACCCTTGCACCAAGGCCTTAACGTCTTGAACACGGCTGCCATATTACTACCAATGTTTGAAAAATGCATCGGTGAAGAATTCTTCCTCAGCACAGATAGTTTCCGTGCTGGAATCAGGTGGTCAAATCTTACTACAATCAAACAACGGGATGCGATCCAGTTCGGTTGTCATGCGGGACAACCGGTCCAACTCTCTGGATGGCAGCATCCACGGAGACTCCATTTGGGGAGCGTGGCGCAGGACATTTCGGTCCCTGGCCTCTTGATTGGTGTCAGCATGAGCACTGACACCAGTGACAGCTCGTTCCCTCGAGTTACTTTGCTCTTGGTGATGTATAGGTGCATTACCACCATCCCCACGCGTCCTATCGTTGGATGGACTCGCGTGAGGCGGAGATTCGTCGAAACAATCCCTCGATCCGAAGATCTCGGTCATGATACCGCCGCGTTGACCAGAGCCAGTCAACCTGGCTCTAGCAGTGTCCGCCCCGGTTGATCCGTAGGCGTGAGGTGTCGTCTTCGAGTCGGATGCATCATCCGACTCGCTGGTATTGATGAGCTCTATTTCAGGCTCATCCACATTGCGAGTCGTAGCACTCGCTGCAGACGCATAGGATGTACCTGTCGCACGTAAAGACTCACCACGTGGACTTTTCACACCAACAGCCGACGAATCACCTGCTGCTGAGGTGTGAGAGGCACTTTCCGAGGCTGCAAGCATGCGTGCAGCCGCCATTCTTGCTGGTGCAGTAGCAACTCGCTTGGTTTTTCGAAACCATGCGTTGAATTGGAAAATAAAAGAAAATTCGATAAACAAGTGCTCCCTTTCCCAGCGTGATTCAGCGGTGGTAACCCTGTACCAATCAATTTTAATAAAAAAACGGTTGATTGATGGCTAAGGGGGGGGTGATGTAACGTGATAGCCCGTCACATGATATTGATACCAAACGGCGTCAATAGGGAGATTGTATAGCGTGATAATATTTTACTGATATTTTCCGAGATGGATAATATTGAAGGTATACTATCCCCTTAAGATGATATTCATGCGCTGCTAAAAGATTGGATGACAAAAGACATATCAACCATAGATTGCCACCAATCGTTTCCAGACGCGCGCAATGAATGGTGAGCAGGTTGTCGTCATACGACGACGTAGTTTAACATGGTTAGATAAAGTCTGAAGTTATATTATAGCTCAACTCTATCAAATACAGTTCTCGTTTTACCCTTTACTTAAACGAGCTGTTTGAGTGAATTAGCTTCCTCTGCACGTACTAGTGTACGTGAAGTTTTGTGGCACCCGAACAAAGGGTGCCCAGTTACGTCTTAAGTTTGCGTCAAAGTAGTCAACGAGTGGGCCACGAACAGATGAGCATTTTCAGTGTTCGTATCAGGAGCTAACATCTTTGTAAAAGCCAAAAGTATCTAAAGACATCTTGTAGGACGGTTGATTGCCTACCGGCAAAGGAAGAAAAGTTTAAATTCATGTCCAGTGGAAACGGTACCCTAGCGCTTTGACTCTTAGGAGCCGGTTGAAGTGTCGCGTGTCGATGTGCCAGGGCTGTTTGACACTTACGAGCAGGCACATCAGTTTCACCCACTTGCTAAGTCCTGATGGACTAGCAGAATATCTTAGCGTATAAAAGAATGTGGTGTGTCTCTATAGATTACACGCGCGCGCACCACTGCGAACCTTTATTCGCTGCGACCGCTGCCTTGCCGCCCCAGAGTGTGTTTTTTTACGTCTCACTTTTTTAAAAAGGCCGGATGTTTGGTTCGGTAAAAATACGACAAGAATTGTGAAGGTAGGGCAAAGTCGATCGCCTTCTTCTTTCTGCGTATGAAAGAACCCATACTAATTATGTGAGTCTATAGTTGCATGCACCAAGAGCGGTGCAACAGACGCATACACCGCTTGCGATTCGGCTGGAGAGGCAATGGTGGGCTACTCTCAGATGCATAGTGGCCTTCAAATTAACGCGCTTGTGACACAGGCAAACGTAGGTCTAGTGTTATTCTGGAGGATTTATGCTCTGGTTCATCAAGTTTGGACTCTCTATTGTGGATATTTTGACGTTCAAATGAGACTGTAGCACTCAAAGAAGCTGCTGATCCTTCGAGAATAGCTCTCTCTTTGGTGCGTCAATCTAATTGTGGCTGACTTAAAATTCACCCCTTTGTTGTTGGTATACTGTAAAGTCACTGCAACAACACTGGAGTTGTGAACAGGAGCGGTTCATGGATCGGCAATGGGATCAACCAATTCCTAGAAGTGCCGCATACGCTAACTGTCTTCATTATCCTTTGGTGATGTTAAATGATCAGACTAAACGTATTCTACCATTAATGCAAAGTCATTCGCCACATTAGTTGGGTGAAATGAGCCACCCACCTGTCAAAAGATAGACCGCTGTACTAGCAGTCGGCGTCATGACACTAGCCTTTGCGTCATTTTGTTATCTCGCAACGCCCACGCTTGGTGGTAGAAGATGTGGTCTTCTTTGAAGGCAACTTAGCATTCTTTTTACGCTTAAATGTCACGAAAAATCTTTGCGTCATCGCTTAGAAAAAGAGCACACTCAGGGCAGCCCATACGAACAATGTAACGGGGCACCCTGAAGCTTGTACTGGTGACAGTACAAGCTACTTATTCTGATGACAGAATAAGGCGGTCCCTCGTAACTTCACGTACACTCGTACGTGCAGAGGAAGACGGTAAGGAGAAGCGAGTACTTGGTCAAAGTAAAAAGTAGAACTGTATTTGTAGTAGTTAATGTCTGTTGATAAACCACTGTTTATCCTCATCTAACTATGTCTAAATACAAATGTGTAAATCAAATATCTGCTCACCACTCATTGCGTGCGTCTGTCGTGGCGCGTCTTCGTTGGTTGATATAATGGCCTATGTCAACCAATTGAAACTACTCGTAAGTGCTGCAGAATATTTGTCCTTATGACAATATTCTGTGAATATAACTCTTATAATTATATTCTATTAACAATTTCTTATGAATTGTTTTGTAACGATTCACCCCGTTTCATCACCCCCCCCTTAACCATCAGTCACTTTAGTGACTGATTGACTAAATGGATACTCGTCCCAAATCATTTGGGACAGGGTTTGCACTTGTTGGTCCGAGTCCACTTTCCAACATCTCATCGCATGGTCATCAAGCCCATGCGATGCGCGAGCAAGGCCGCCGAGAGCGCGTCCGCACGTCTCTGTGCGGACGCCGAAGCAGAAACCACAGCAACTGATGTCTCATCGGTTGCTGAAGCGACTCAGCCTGTGTCACTTGGTGATGCAGGCGCTGGTCATGAAGACACTCATGTCTTCACAGAGTATGAGCTCGGTGTCTCATACTCTCCTGATACAAAAGATGGATCTGTATCGACGGCGATCGAATCTAAGCCGCATGCCAAGCGTGGCATGGATGATGCTATGCGTCGTAGCATATTTGGTTCATCTGATGAGTCAGATGAACCATCGCCGAAGCGAAGGCGCTCGAGGTCGCAAAACTCGGGCACTCACAGTGGTGTCGGTTCTCCTATGGACACCACTTCAAAACGAGGTGCCAGTACTTCTGTCGGCACATCGCAGGAAGAGCGGGATCGCAACGTCTTGCGTCTCGCTCCCGAGGAGAAGGCATGGATGCCTCCGAAATCCGTCATGGATCACTTGTCGGCGACGACGAGTGATCGTTATCGAACCGGTTGTTCGATTCGTCAAGGATCCATCACCTTGACCCCAGCGCGAAAAACTATCGCGCTGAGAATGAATTCTTCATCGATGCTTTCTTCAGACATCGATGGTACAGTGGGAATCACAAGCGTGATGGTCCCTCACTACTTCAAGCGTGGAACGCCTACATCCATAACCTTGAGGATGTAGGTCGTGACGCTTGGAACGACAAACTTATCAAAGCTCGTGATAAGTTTGAAAAGCGAACCCCAACAGGAGCACGCTACAAGCTGCATCGTCTATCAAGGGAGAAGGGATTACCCTGCCTCTCTTGGGGAGACTCGTGCCCATGTTGTGTGAACAACTCTGCACGAGCACCTAAGGAGGTTTACCTCCTTACTAGCCCGTGGTGGCGCGCACGTATCTCTACTGAGATGTACGAAGGGATTGACAACCTGAAATCCCTTTACGACCGTGCCGGGAAGACTTTCTCCGGCGGACCTTCTGCGGCACAGGATGTGCCGCGTCGTACTGCTCAACCAGACCCAGTACGTCGATCATCAGTTGGGAGCGGGGCTCCCAAGAATCCCAGGACGGGGGGATAGCCGCGCCACCGGACGAGATAACTCGTCCGACGTCCGTTCACGTCGCGGTGGTTCAACAGCTGCTCAACTAGATAGCGCTGGCCACCGCAAGAGTCCTCTAATGGAGGTGGAGGAGGAGGAAAACGCTCTCCACACGATCATGGGGATCCGTGTGTTCCCGAGAGCTTCTTTGATCGCGTAACGCAAGGGTTACGCAACGATCTCAAACATGAGCGGGACAGGCGTCTCCAAATGGCGGACACTGTCTCGAAGCATCGAGCTGAGTTTGCCTTTGCTCAGCTTGAGAACGAGAGATCTCTGACATCTCTTCGTGACGAGCTAAGGGTAGCTCGTGGGATTGTTGATCGGTCTCGGGATGAGATAACTGCTCTTCAGACCCTTGTCGATGCCCACCATCGGGAGCACAAGGCTCTCTGTGAGATGCTTGAGCGCAAGGGCGTTCTTCATCGGAAGAAGCAGCGTACTGATGGTACGGCTTAAGCCGACCAACGTAAAACGTGGGATGCGTTCGCATCTTACGTGGCAACTCGATCGTGTATGCATTGCCTAGGCGGTGCAATACACGAAATGGGCCGATGTACTTGGGTAGTAGTTAACTGCTACCCAAGTTAGTCACTACATGCTTTGTAAGATTAATCGTAGACAGTAGGACTAAGTCACCTTTATTAAATAAAAGAGTGTTTGCCCTTCCATTCTTGTCAGCGTTTTGCTTTTGCTTATCCACCGCTTCGGCGATGGAATCTTGCACAAAACGGACTACCGTTTCACGAGCCAGTATGAACTCATCTGATGACTCGTTAGCTTCAGTGCGCTGTGAGCGCACTGCAGCAACATCAACCTTTTCTTCAGTGAGGGCTTCCGCACTCTCACTGGCATCATCTTCTTCGATATCGATGTTATCGATATCGGCATCAAACGCAATGACCTCTTCGTCAGAGCGTGATGAGCGTGAACCAAATCGGTTTTTGCTCGCGCGAGTCCCTCCCCCCCCTTAAACCAGAGTTACACTCTAGTAAGGTGGGTACACGCGGATGGCGCAAGCCATTCACGTAAAACGGTGTATGTGTCGTGGACGCATGCACCGAGTTGTAAATGGCAAACTCTACCATTGGCAAAAACTCACTCCAACTCTTAAAGGAGTGTACGTATCCTCGAAGTATCTCTTCAAGGACACGATTGGCACGTTCCGTCTGACCATCTGACTCTGGATGATCAGATGTCGACATCTTCAAGCGCGTTCCGAGTGATTTGAACACGGAACGCCAGAAATCAGCAGTGAATCGTGGATCTCTGTCTGATACGAGTTCACGGGGCAACCCATGAAGTCGGAAGATGGTGTCGATAAAGACACAAGCACAGCCACTTGCCGTGATTGTCTCTGGTACAGCCACAAGGTGTACCATTTTGCTGAATCTGTCAACAAATACGAGAATACCCGTATTCCCGCGTGCGTCTTTGGGTAACCCGAAGACGAAATCCATTGAGATGGATTCCCAGCACTCAGCCGGAACCGGTAGAGGCTGTAAAGGTGCACGCAGTGAAGGACTTGACTTCACTCGTTGGCAGACTTCGCATGCGCGAACATACTTTCGCACAAACTGATACTGGCGGGGCCAGTAAAAGTCTCGACTCACCGTGAGATATGTTTTCTCTCGGCCACGATGTCCTCCTATAGGAGCATCGTGATACTCGAACATGATCCGCAAACGCAGATCAGTATCATCTGGAATGACAACACGTGGTGTGTCACCAGAAACGGCTGTATAATACAGTAAACCGTTGCGAGTAGTGTATCGATCTGATGCAGATCGATACGCAGACGACAATCGTTTCAACGATTCTCGAGATGGCTGTGAGAGATGTGTCAACAACTTCACAATCTCACCATCTTGGGCGTATGCCCGCCTCACATCATCATACAACGTTGTAGATGGGACTGAGGACGTCATAACCGCAACAGTGACTGTCTCACTGTTGGGTTTCACGACTGGTTCAAAGTCGGGACGACGTGAGAGTGCATCAGCGACGACATTAAGTCGTCCTGGTTTGTACTCGACCGTAAAGTTGTATTCCGCAAAGAATGACAACCACCGCGCCATTCGTTGTGAAAGGTGCGGGCTGTTCACTGCCGTGCGTAATGACGCATGGTCAGTGTAAACAATGAAGGGTCTATCTCCTAATAGATAGACTCTGAACTTCGCGAGTGCATACTTCATGGCAAGGAGTTCCTTGTCATGCACTGGATAGTTCCGCTCAGCTGGTTGCAGCTGACGCGACTGATAGCAGACGACGCGTTCAACGCCTTCAAGATCGTACTGCATTAATGCACAGCCGATTGCGAAATCGCTGGCATCACAGACCACATGAAATGGCCTGTCCTGATCGGCTATTGCTAGGACTGGGGATTGTATCAAGCTCTGCTTGATACCATCAAAGGAGCGCTGACATTCAGCGTTCCATAACCACCTCTCGTTCTTTTTCAACAAACGAGAGAGGTGCACAGTCATCTCGGCGTAATTGCGTGAATACTTATGCAAATACGCCGCTAGCCCAAGGAATTTTCGAAGACCTTTGACATCAACCGGCACAGGCCAGTCGGTGATCGCCTTGATCTTTTCGGGATCAGGACGTACACCGTTCTTACCAACGATGCACCCAAGAAGTGGTATTTCGCTTGCTGCAAATATACACTTCTTGAGGTTTGCATACAATTGATGCTTTCGCATGATTGTAAGAACCTGTCGGACGTGGTACCTGTGAACCTCAACGTCCGACTTTCCATCCATAGCCCGACTATGGATGAATACGTCATCGAAATAACTCGGCGCGAATTCTCGTACTGGTCTCAACAGATGTGATACACATCTGTTGAACGTGGCAGGGGCATTACTAAGCCCTTGTGGCATTACTAGCCATTCCCAGAGCATGCCGCTAGGCGTGCTCACTGCGGTATAGGGTATATCCCGTTCTCGCATAAGGATTTGATAGAAGCCATCCATCAAATCCATGGACGAAAAGATGGTACTCTTTGACATACCATCAATGATTACGTCCTTCCTCGGTATCGGCGTCTGAGCCGGTACCGTTGCAGCATTCAACTTGTTAAATGCATGCACTATCCGCCACCCTCCTGTTGCTTTTCGCACACAGAAGGTCGGAGAGCTATGTGGGGAAGTTGATTCCCTCACATGGCCCGCAGCTAAACGATCGGCAAAGAACTTGTCGATCGCAAGTACTTGTTCACGAGGCAGTGGCCACTGCTTCACGGCACAGTACTTCGAGCCTGGTTTAAGCTCGACCTCGTGTCGAATACCTTTCGTAATTCGCACGGAACAGTTTCAGGGAATACATCCTTGAATTTAACCAAATCTTCATAGAGAGGATTTGTCTTGAGCGATTCCCCTGATTGGGAGTCATATCGCTCAATTCGTGTCTTTTCATCTAGGACACTCTCGTCCATAGATAAACTACTGAGAGGTCTTTCGTTCTCAGTAAACACTGTTGCTGACCTTATGTCGGCTACACACTCGTCGTCAGCGACGAGTACGCAGATCTGCTTGACGTTGCCACTACGCAGATCACGCAAGAACCTTTCATGTTCGAGAGTTGGCAACTGAGTGATCTCCGAAGTCAACTTCGGAGGCGCAATCAGATCAAGTGTACAAGCGCGTACACTTGATCCGTCATTGACTAGGACATTCAATGTCTCTGTCATTTCCTAGGACATTCAGTGTCTCTGTCATTTCCTGGGGACTTATTCCCTCAGGCCTCGAAGGACTTATTCCTTCGGCTTCCCGGGGACTTATTCCCGCGGGTTTCGGGGAACTTATTTCCGCCGTATTTGTAATCTTGGGACTTATTCCCTTTACTTCCTCTAGCTGTGGTTGCGCGACCACAGCGAGATCCTCTACGAAAGACTCTCCAGTCGATCTAGGATTATCGTTTCGCTTAACCTGAGCGATCCATTGTTTCTCTTCTAGATGTTCCCCACTAGGGATACATCTTTGTCCCGGTCCACTCGACTTATTCGAGTGGTGGACCTTCGGCGCAGCCTGTGTTTCTTCACAGCCGCCGGAACTTTGCTCCGAAGTGTAACCGTTTGGTACACTAAGGTTTTGTGCAGTCGTACTAACGACCGTACCACAAGTGAGGCCATCGCACTCACTCGTAGTACATCCACACGCTTGTGGACGCTCCAAAACGTTCATCAGATGGCCATCTGATGAACAAGCGGCAGGCATCGTTACTGTTCGATGTTGCCAGTTTACCCGTGGTTCGTACCTTCTGAGCCACGGTATTCCAAGGATGACATCAAATTTGTCATCCAAATCCAATACGATAAAGTCATCGTCATATTGGGTATCTTCTAGCGTATAGTGGATCTTCACTATACGCTTCATGACGGTTACGGATGCGCCTGTCGCAAGACGTACCGTCATCCTCGTAGGAGGTGTGTCACATTCACTGAACTTAAAGTGACCATCTTCTAGCGATTGGCGTCGCACAAAATTGTTGGACGCCCCACAATCGACTAGAGCTCGAAGGGACAACTTATTCGTCACTTCGAGTTTCAAGGTAATGAGTGAGACCTCATTACCTAGAGCAGCAACGCACAACGTTTGTGTGTTGGGAGCAACCTTCATCAAGAGGCCTACAAATTCTCTTGACGTTGCTGGACCAGTAGGGTGCTCCGCACCTACTGATCCTGTCCGTTTTTTGACGGTCCATCCCGTTGTTGCGTCTTTGCACCAACAGCGGACCCTCGTCCCTGCCCCTTTCTCATGGGTGGACGGTCACTACGCCCAGTGTTGCGAGACACTGGACGAGGGGCACTACACTCGTAAGCGTAGTGTCCTGTCTTTTGACATCTGTTGCATTTCTGCAACTTCTTGTAGTCTGTAGAGCGAGCCTTCTCGCTCTCTACATAACAGAGTTCCATCGGCTCTGGACCTCCGCTGTCATATCGTCTCGGTTGACGATATGATGTCGAGCTGGCGCGAGCCTGTCTCAGACTGAAGTCTTCCTGTTCCGCAATGGAAATGGCTTGTTCTAGTGAATCTAGTTCAAGCCGGAACAGGTGAGTCTTGACGGGACCATCCGCAAGACCCTGCATGAACACCGAAACCAACGTGTGTTCATCCACCGGATTGGAACTTATACAACTCGTGAGATGTCGTATATGTTGCGCGTAAGCGTGCACATCACGCTTACCCTGCTTGAGCTTCAAGAGTTCGGTTCGAGCTCTGAACTCAGCTCCAGGCGGTTCAAACGTTTGTCTGAGCCGCGACTTGAAGACTTCCAACGACCCAAACGCATATGGGTCGTGCAAGTTGAGCCCCAGTGCCCAAGTCTTGGCACGTCCTGCCAGATTTGACTGAAAAATGCAACTTGCATATCCCCGTCGTCGGCGCGACGCGCCCTTGTGGCATCATCCAATTCGACGAACCATCTCAAAAAGGGAGTCCTCTTCGACTCCCTCA